CAACCCAAACTATTCCATGATTCTGTGATAATCATAGACCAGCTGTTTAAGCCAGTGTGTGATTACAAAAAAGGCTGTAATGGTATATAGTGCCTTATATACATAGTGCCTGAAAATCAACGTTTCTTACATGTCTTATATCTCATCCTTCATATCAAAGATCAGTATTCCTTTTGCTCCTACCTTTGGGCATTTGAGCTCCCAAGGGATTCCTGCCATGACATCTACAGCATCAGCTCCACCCACACCAATGCAGATTCCTCCCAAGCCACCTCCGTTGGGGGTGTGTGAATCTGTGCCGATCAGCATAACCCCAGGGTAGGAGTAGTTCTCCAGAATGATCTGAAAATAAAAATGGATTGTTTGCTTGCTTGATTGTTGGGAAAGGAGGGGAAAGACAGCAAGAAAGAAGACAAGAACAAGAATTTAGATTAGTTTGTATTTGCAGATTTCAGTAGCAAGAAAGTAATTGAATTTGTTCTGGATTGTAAATTCGCTTGTGTTTCAAACTCCTTGTGGAGATGTAATGACAGTACAAGATACCCAGTCTCAGCCCAAGGATCCTTGCTCATCCCAGGATAGTAAGAAAACTTTTAAAATTATCTCAATTTTTTCCTTCCAGTTTAGGCTTTTGCTAAGGTGCCACCTTTGTTAGGGCTCAAGAGTCTGTTCCTTTGTCTCCAAACCCTTGATCAACTGCTGAGCAAGCCAGTTCACCTATCCAATGCTAGGGAGACCTTTTGTAGACTTTATGCTCCCACCGCAGAAGAATACCAACAGGCTCCTCCAATCGATGCTGCCAGCCAAAACCTAATCACATAGAAGAATCCCTCACAAATACACTACACCAAGAGGCTGCCCTTCCCTTACTGCTGCTATTGATTCCACGCAAGACTCTTCAACTACTAGCAAAGCCACAAAACAGTTCTTTAATGAAAAATGATGAGTTTTCTATGGTAGCAAAAGAGTAGAGAACTCAAGCCAATAAACTTCTCACTGCGTGTGGGCCATGCCAACGTTACGGACAGCCTTTCTGGGAAGCGCAAAACTCACAGCACGTGCATTACAGAACAGCTTGGACAGAACTAAGGTGGCCCTTTATTGAGAAGACTAAGGTTTTTCCTCTAGTACTTCCAGCTTTATTTGCTTGTAGCTCACATTAATACACTTGTGCAAGAAAGGTCACTTTCAAGGACTCACTTTGCCAGAGTTGGACTCTGAAGCTATACAACATGATCAATTTTCTCCAGCCAGAGAAAAAGAAAGCTGGTAACCACGGCATGGAGCTATGTTGCCACATGACAGATATTACGAGTGGTTTCAGAGCACAAATGGCCTGAGGTTTTCCCACAACCTTTTGGAGAGTTCACCTGTTCTATTTCCTTTCTCTGCTGCATCACACCAAGTTCAAGTAACCTTCGTAACTCATTTTGTAGCTAAGAAAACACAGCAGAGAGCTCTTGACTGCACCTGGTCACAAGTTCCCTGCTGAAAGGATGTCATCCACTCTCCTCTCCCCTCCTTTCACTTTGTGCTGCACTGCAATTTTTACTGCCTGCAACTCAGAGGAACACTGGAAAATTGTCCACTGGACCCACAGAGCAAATCAACCAAGAGCAGGTTAGGGAAATCCTGCCAGCGTTGTTGGTTTTAAAAAACAAAAAGCCTCGTTAAGTGGTAAGTCATCTTGGGACAGTCATATTCTTTTAAGGTGCAAGTGCTATAACTAGAGAATCTCAGACTTGGAAACTGTTGGAAACTGTTTTGCATTTTACTCCGTTCACATAGCAACTTGTTATGTGTTGCCATTCTTGAGTACTCAAAATAAGGTGCTCTGTTTGGTGTCCTTATATTCTCTTCTGGTTTTTATGGAACCAAACACATACAAAATAACCATTAAAAAAGCATGTTCCCAAAGCTGCTTTCCTTACCACCAAAAGCAATTCATGTTAGCCCTATGTAGCCAGCTTCATGGCATCACCTTACTGTCCCAATCGTACCAAGAGGAGCCAGCCCACAAGCAGTTAAGATATTTCAAGCTTCTGTGATTCACATGGCATGCTGTTGGCACTACCTAATCATGCATCAGGTTACAGTTTGACCAAAATAACCTTTAAGAAAAACCACTTGTTGTGAAGATAACAGAGAGAGCAAGCAAGAAACCTCACCCACCTCAAGGAAAGCAAGTTGTTTCCCTAAGCTGGTGAAATTCTCTAAGGGTTTGCACTTGAGCTCTCTCTTCACCATAAGGTAAAGAGCCATTGCGTGTTCAAAGATTGCAAACACACGCACTTTACCTGGTGAATGATTCCCGACCCAGGTTTCCAGAATCCCACTCCATACTTGGCACCAGCTGTTGCTAGAAAGTTGTAGACCTCCTGGTTTATGTCCTATTCACACAGGGAAATGTATAGCGTTAGTAACAGATTTTGTTCTTCCATACATCAAGAGCTCATTCAAACACATTCCCTTCCCTCCCATGCCTGTCTGTAGTTTGCTCCACAGTTTTGTAGCAGCTAGAGGGAGATGCACATCACTCTTTTAAAGCCAAAAGGGATCAAGACTGCCACTCAGTTGTAATAGGCCATTTAATTTCATCCAACTTGTAGCTCTACTAAAGCATCTTTTTTACTTTCCAATTCCAACTAGCACAAGAGAAATAGCACAATTAAAGGAAAACCCTGCCAATAAGGCATTTAAAAACGTTTTGCTTGTTTCTTGTATTCTCAGGGTTTGGTTTTTTTTAACCTGTTTCCCTCTCTTCTTCTAACCCCTCCTTCTTTCTCTACCAGCAGTTCCTTTTGCTTTACAGATGCTCTGCAGACATTCCAAACCCCTTAGATAAGCATTTTGGCTTTATTTTTACAGATTAAGAAATTGAACTGGAAGTTGCTCACTGCCAGGGGAGTTGGTGGGTGTCATTTCTCATTCTACCAAGTCCCCTGTTTAAGACTCACACAATGCTGCCTTTCTTGCTGCACTATCACCATTATTGGTGGAGGTCACACTGTGAAAATTGCTTGTGAGCATAACCACGGTTGCCAAGGAAGTATGACACTATTATGTCCTGATAGCTCTTGGCAGAGGAGTGGCAGAGTAGATAAGATAAGCACTAGGAGAGAGTTTCTTAAAGACTGTTCTCATGCAGCTATGCTTCAGAATAAAGAGAAAGGGGAAACTGGAGATAATGGAAGAATTGTCTCAGCACACATTTGCTGAAGTTTCCCATGAGGCAGCAGCAGTTCTTTAAGCCTTGTTTTCCACTGGGAGTCGGGTCACTTCACTCTGTTTGTGCATCCCTCCCCCAGTAAAGCATGCTGATGTGCCAGGAGCAGATCCAAACCACTCTCCCGCCTGCCAGCATTCATTGTGTGCCAACTGGCAGCAGCAGAAGCAGAACCCAGTCAGAAGAAGGCAGGACCTTTACTTGCTCTGCTAAGAGCGGATGGCAAAGGCGGGACTCGGCTCAGCTCAGGGCTGCAGCAAATATAATTGCACTACAGAGAACAAATGCAGGAATAGGGGGAAGGGGAAGACTGGAGGTGAAGGGAAAAAAAGAAACTGTCTTATTTAGTTAAGTCCCAAATTCTTAATCACACAACTTAGGACCGAAACAAGTGGAGCAAGAACTCCCCAAATTCACTCCTGAGTGGTGAAAGTTTTATAGCTTTACTATGGCCTGAAGGAGGAAGCCAGAAGCAGTTACTTCAACATCAGGAGTTTCTGAGAATATATATGGACTAAAATCTTAAAATGCAGCTAAGCCCCCACAAGCTGTTTACTATTTGTAAATTTTGGTATCAACGTCCAAGGCATAATTCCTCCTGGACAGTGGACTTAGGCTAGGTCCACTTGGAGTAACAAGATTTCCCCCACCTCCTGCTATGCTAAGAGCATGTTCTTCCCTGGCAGATGTATTCTGGTATGTAGGACAGAGGTGAATGTGTCTGTATTTAACAGAAGCCCCTACAGAGGAATAAGCAGTAAAACAGTGAGCGGGAAATTTAAAAAAGGCAGTGAATCAGCAGTTGGACAAACAACACATTGAAATTCCCAAATAAAAACCAACATCCTCCATGCTTCTATACACATTTATACCCACCCTCGCTAGCCCTGAAAACTGCACATGCTTCAGTTAGTGTTCTTCAGCTAATCACTAGCAAATGGTTTGGGAAACAAAAGCAGTCATTTGCTTCCCCCTCACAGGATACACCAGTGCAATGCAGACACATGTTCAGGAAGTTTTTCACACTGCCATACTGTGGCATAAAGAGCATAACTCTCTAGAGCAATCTGTCTTCCTTTTTTTCCCTTTGAAATAATTTTTCCTCTTCCCTTAGCTGAAATACCTTCTCACTCTCCAGAACACACATATGACCTGGGCTTCCATCATTAAGAGATTAAGACTAGCTTTTCCTACATTCATGGTCCTTTAAACCATGTAATGGATGAATCTCAGCCGAAAAACTCCCAAAGATCTGTTTACTCTGTTTCTTTGCTGCATCTGACCTATCTACAGAGCTGACCACCACAGGCAATCTGTTACCATATCTGATTCGTGGCTGTCCTTCTGGGGAAAAAAAATAGGGTCTCTGCAATAGTGACCTTGGCTCTTCGAAGATCCTTTTCACCACCTAACTGGGCTTCGATGAGGTGATCACAGTGGATGGTGGAAGGCACAGCCACTTTTGGCAACCCACTGCTGATGAACTGTAGCATTGCCATCTGAGCAGTGGCATCCTGCATGGCCACGCGGTCTGGCCGTAAGCGCAGATAGGTCTTGCCCCGCTCAATCTCCTGTTTTGCTGGGTCATCCAGGTGTCCATATACAATCTTCTCAGACAAGGTCAGGGGACGGTCAAGCCTGGGGAGAAGAATTTTAGTATCTGCATATTGTGTACTTCAACATTTGCCCTTTTAAGCATGTAACAGAACGCTTCCCTGTATCACTCAGACTGTTAAGACCTATTAACACACAGAAACCTGCATGGTCTTCTTACAGCACTAAAATGTCAACTGGCAGCCGGCTAAAACAAGGGCTCAGTCCAGAAAGTTCAAAAGTATACGGATTGATGTCACTTTATGCTTTCTTTTATAATCTTCCTATACAGTAAAAGAAACATTGACCCTGCTCATTTTTTGAGTCATACCTCAGGACACTAAATGTGGAGGTGAGACAGAGGTCAGACTCAATTCACAAATACCAGATCCCACAGCAAGCAAGTACAACTAAGCGGAGTTTCATGACCTCAGACCTTTCATCCTGCAGCTGTATCAATTGAGGAACCTATTTATGTCAGTGGTGAGATCTTCTGAGAAGTAACTAAGTAGATACAATGACTTGAAATGAGAGCTACTGCATTTAACAAAGGACACAAAGGCTGAAGGACATGTCATACAAACCACTTGACAGCTTAGCAGGCACACAAGCCTCTATCAGCAGATTAAGGTCACTATGTTTACATATGCTACGAATTCCTAGCCCTCCTTTCCATGCCTAACGCCTACAGTGGAACACAGGAGAACATTCACTGTTGAAACACAGTGCAAAGGAGCATTAGCCTATAATGACCAGTGCCCACGCCCACTCCAGAAAGGAGCAAGGGCCACTATGAAGTCTCCTCAAAGAGGGCATTAAACAAAGAGGACAGAGCCCTTTCTAGCACCTCCTCTGCACTGGCCTGGTTCTCTGCATGTCGCAGTACCTCATCGTAACCTTCAACCCTTCCCACAGTGTCCCATCACTATTTGGGGACACTGCAACTCATTTTTCACTACATTTGTGACTGCCACCGCTCAAGGCCGCTCTCTTTAGTAAATATTCCCTATGCCAGGGCCCCATGACATTTTTTTCCTCCTCTCCCATCGCTGCAGAGCTGAATTCTGCACATTGACCCCTCCCCTCTTCCTTCCTCCACTCTTACCTCTTACGGACAATGTTGATGTTCTTCTCCAGCTTTTCATAATTTATGTGTTCATTAGGCTCAAAGTGGCTCATGGCCACCTTGGCCCGCTGGCACAAGACAGGAGCAACATGGTAGCGTCGTATCCCACTATTCAAGGCATGCTGGAAAAAGGAGAGTATTAGCACTGGAACCTTGCAGAGTGAATTCCTGTAACATATCAATAAACCAATTGTTTTTCAGTTGTTACTCCTGGGATTTTACAGGCTGAGGAATAGAAAAATTGCAAAGGTTTTTAAAGGCACTTAATAAACATTTGATCGCAGAATACTGTGTATTATGTTAAACAGTGAGACACCAGGTTACCCAGAACGGGTAGCATTTACCAAATTCTTTTACATTTCTATTTATAGCACCAGATGCCTTATGCTTTCAGTGAGAAATCTGCTTTCAGGCAACGTTGAAAAAATTCTTAAGCGAACACCAGTTTGCTATACTCCTAAAATATTACAGCCATGGTGGAGAAGAACCTACGCAGTTTCCAAAGCCAGCTAACCCTAGGTTTGTATTCGCTCACTGGTATTGAGTTTATATCGAAGGACTGGCAGGTGACACAGTACGGGACTGAGTAGATACCCGTCTGTTCCACCATCACGTACTAAGTTCCCTATGCAGGGTCCCTGCATACCGTCACAAAGTTTATTATATTTTCACATAAGGTGAGCTGCATTTCAATGCTAGCTAGAGTGACTTCGATGTACGTGCCTGGTCTACAATGTAATGCAGAGCAGCAGAGAGGTAAGATGTGGAACAAACACATCAGCTTCACCAACCTGGCTGCACAGATCCACATGCTATTTATCTTCACTCTCACAAAGGCATCCTCACCTTTCCCCTAAGAAAAGCCCTGAACTTGCCTACAGCTGAGTTAACAGCAGGACTACTCCGTCAGCTGAACACAACAGCAGAAAACGCCATAAAAAAACAAAAGCCCAAATTTCGCTTGGCAGCCTCCGCAGTGAAACGGTTCCCTGGAACATGGGAGAAGGACAGGCTATGGCAAGACACCTTTACAGCACCTGACCTAGAGAGACAGGTCAGTACCCAGGGTTAAAAGGCTCTCACGCAGCTTTGAAAACTGAGTCAGAAGGCAGCCTCCATAAAAACTTCCAAGGATTTGGCACATGCATTTCTTACATCCTTTGAAAGCCTCTGTCATCAGCACTAGAAGTCTGGAAACAAACTGAAGACAAGAGTTTAGAGTAGTTCCTCCTCCAGTATTACACTTTAATCTTAATCCTTTTGTTCCTATTCATCCTCTATTTTAGCATTGCAAGGTTTTGATAAGTACAGGTTAATAAACATAGCAGTATTGCACTAAATATTCCTTTTGTATGTATGACTGTAAATCAGCAAATATTCCTTGTGCAGAACACAATCACAGTACCTATCACTGTTTTTGCATTATCAAAAATGCTAGTCAATTCTTTAGATCTGTTCAAGCATTTTTAATTTTTCCCTGTGAAAATTTTTTCCAGTTTTCTTGTTTCCAGCATTGAAAACATTGCCTGAAATAATCATGATCAATGAGTCGTCACCAATTTTTATCCAAATCTCTTGTTTTATTGTCCTTTGGATAACATTTCTTAGTATCTTACACAGTAAAAAGTTCAGGAAATCTAGGCGAGATCATAATAGCCAGCACACTAGCAATAAGGGTGTAGTTTGATTTTTTTACCAAACAGCCCTAAGCTATTAGATATATAGCTTTCAGTAAGAGCAATACAGACCTACAGCAGCTGTACACCATTTTCATTAAAGAAAATCTGAAGTAAGTGAACATGACAGTACAAGAGAGGGTACTGCTCTTCCAGAAGTGCAAATGAAACCCACTCATCAAATTTCACTGTGCTGCACTTTAGTTTAGAACTTCCAGAACATATCACAGGTGTCAGAGGTGAGACTTTTCCTTCCTCCACCAGCAAAAAAACCCCCAAAAAACAAAAAAACAAACAAAACACCACCCAGCTTCTCACTGTTTAACATACATAAGCTGCTCTTTACCTAGTAGCCACATAACTTTTGTATTTGTTTTGTTCTGCCCTTTTTTTTTTTTCTTCCCCCTTAAGCATTTACCCAGCACAATTAATGCTGTGGACAATGTTGTCTTCATCTCACAAGATATCCATTATCTCATGAAAGTCTCCAACTGCTGGAATGGTTGGAAAAACCACTGAGGGATTTCCTCAATGTTCATCGAAAAACAATAATCTCTTCCCCAGACCAGGAAAGTTTTTTTAATGCAGTAATTCCTTCTTTTTGCCCCCAAACTAACCCTGTAGCGCAATTAGTTAATGGAGTTCCTCCATGTCACAGAGTAAACTGAAAGCTAAATTTCACCATAATTCAGAGTACAGGAGAACAGATTTGCAAATCAAAGCAATGGCAGAGGCTTCATAGCATTCTAGTCTTGCCTGGGACCAAAGCTGATTATGATAAAAAGCTGAAGCAGGGCTCTCCAAAAAGAGGTGCAAAGAAACATGTCAGATAAAATTCAGACAAAATCTTTTCCGTTTGAACATACACATCTATGTACCTTTTTAATTCATTAGATGGCTTGGTGAAATTTAGTATTTATTCAAATACTATATAAATATTCAAATGGTAATCGCTTGAAGTAGCAATACAAAGTGGTTGACTTCTGCTTGACCACAACTTCAGGCTACCAGAAGTGGGAAGGGAGAGAAATGAGCATGTTTGAGGTGAAGGATCCTATCTGGACATGGAGAGTGGCAAGAGAAGTCTGGAAAACTGAAGGTCTGTTTCTGTGATGGCCAGTAACACCAGGTAAAAATGATCACCTAGGCCAATCAGTTTCAGAAGACTAGAGAATAATTTTTGTCTACATAAGACTTTTTTAAAAGGCACCTATTAAAAAACTGCTATCTTCATTTTACAGGGATCTAAATCTCATCCCACATCTCTACTCTGTTGGGAATTAATTTGATTCAATATGGTTGTTCTCATGTTGGCGCCCAACAAGCCTAAGGATCCATCAGCAACAATGAGCAACAGCATACACTGCCTGGTTCAAAAGTCTGATCTCTCCTCACAAAGAATCTATAATATATTACTCATCACACTTGTCGATTCTCCATGCCTGTCCTTTTTCCACTGCATCCTCAGAAACGCAGTGGCAGAACTACAAGATTAAGGAAAAGCCACAAGCCTAACAGCTTCCAACTTCATTCCCTCTCACTCTTCCCTGAAATAGCAGATGGTCTGAGGGGCTTCTGTGGTGGTCTTTCACTGAGTAGTAAGAAGTGCCTTGAGACCAACAGCCACGGGAAGTAGGCAGCCAACGATGTGTACATTTTCCCTTTTACCCAGGAACTGTTAATTTCCAGACTGACCACCAAGCAAACAGCTACCAAGTGATCTCCTCTCATCTGACATTGAATTTGTTATCCCAGCACCTGAGTGTCCTTATTCAGATTTCAGTAAAAGAAATGGCAGTAATCATTACAGGGCTCCTAAGTCTATTGGTATTTTGGCAGGTGAAAAGCTTCCTTAAAAGACACAAAAAAGCCAGCCTATTAAATGGGTCATTATTTTTGAAATCTCTGTAAGGAAGCCAACACTTATCTTTATAGATTTTAAAAGCTCATCTTGAAAAGCTAGCTGTCTTGCATTTAGCTCACTACAGTGAATGGTCCAGATGCAAGGGGAGTCTGAATTCAGAAACTAACTTATATTTTGGCAGCAGATACGGTAGACAAGTCCAGTAAGCAAAAGCTCATGTTCAAAAGAAGAGCAACTGTGCTACATGCACTCCTATCTGGGAAATCAGTCCTAGAAATCCTAGCTGAAACCCAAAATACCATCTTTCCTCATCCTCCCTGATCTAAGAACACTGGCCAAGTTTCCAAAATTCACCATGATTCAGGCTAAAAAAAAGCAGTGCTGTATAATCAAATTGTAAATGCAGTCTCATTTTCTAGACCCACCCCCAAAGAGCAACCAAAATTAGGGTTCTGAAGATCAGTTTAGCTCTAGCCAACACTGCTTTCTGCCAGCATACACAAAACTTCCCATAGACAAGTTCAGTACTTATCTACAAGGCCTTCAATAAAACCCTGATACTTCAGATGGTTTAGAGTTTCACAGTACTACTCATTCAGTCAATCCTCAACCAACATGGCTCGAGAAATGGGATGCTACTAAAAGTATCTCTTAGATAGGCATGAAAAAGATCTTGCCCTTTGAGGCTATTAGAAGAATTGTACTTTAAATAGGACAGCCAGCCCGAACCACGCTAATTCTGATTTATTTCTCTCAGAGTTAAGCTTCCTACGCAGTTCCAATTCCAAAACAGTTCTAGGATGGGAGATGAGCAGAACCAATGTTAATAACATGTGCCGTGGTCAATGCTGACAGTGATTGGAAAGGTGATTCTCATATTCATTAATCTCTTGGCTGCTACACATGTGCAAAAAAAAAATTTGTCTCCTAAAGACATCACCTAGAAGCATGTTTGACTACCATCACAGATTTAGTCCTTCACAGGGGGAAAAAACATGTAGCTTGAGCCTGCTAATAGAAGACAGCCTCCCAGAATACTAAATTCCCCATATTCACTGTGCTAGCACAGCCTTTGTTTTACATTATACAGTATTAATTTTAGCAAATAACTACTTTTTCTCATGCGATGACACCCCATAAAATGAGAACCAATTCATTACCCTAATAAAGTATTTGTCTTCATTTTATGAGTAGTCATTTCTGTTCAATGTAAAATTAAAAACTATTTAACAATTAAGAATTAATATACCCAGTTAACTGAAATGGTGTTATTCTGAGACTTTTTGCTTAAATTAAAAATCTATACCTTACTAAAACACCTACCTCTAAAGAGGTATTTAAAAGACGTGTAGATGAGGCGCTTAGGGCATGGTTTAGTGGGCATAGTGGTGTTGGGTTGACAGTTGGACTTGATGATCTTAGAGGTCTTTTCCAACCTTAATGATTCTATGATTCTATGAATTAAGCTTCACAAAGCACTTTCAGAATACTAGAAGCCAAGTTCGTACTTTGGTTCCCTAAGAAAAGGGAACACATTGGCCAAGGTCACAAATGGCAAACTGAGAAGTTAAATTGCCTGACTTCATCACATGCTTTATTAAGGGGAGCACAAGCTTCCTTATTCCCGTTAGCAGTCCTAAAAAAAGAAAACTGCATCCCGATATTTGCCTTCCAGGCTTTAAAAGATTATGAAATCTTTATTATTGAGCACACATTAAACACAATAACGTCTCGAATAGGAGAGTCCCTGTGGCAAGCTCATATTACAGGCAGATATGATGTTTAGAGGTCATGATAGACAAGACTATGAGAATCACTATCACTGCCTTGGAAAAAAAAGGCAGTTTATGTGCCTGTCCAGGTTGCTTTTTCCATCTTCTTAGGTCCCGTTTATAACACAGACCCTGGCATCTTTTTCACCCAAGGGCCTCTGTTTTTATTAAAAGTGGGAATTTTGAAACAAAGTAGGCAAAAGATAGAGAGCCTTTGCTCTCTCACAACGAGGAGTCACCTTGTGGTGCTGCACGCTGATAAGGGGAACAAATAGAAGACGACAGGAAGAAAAAAGTA